CCTGTGCTGTCCCTATCCTGGGAGTGTTTGATGGGGACAGTGGAGAGGGAGCTTTACTCTGTATCTAACCCTGTGCTGTCCCTGTCCTGGGAGTGTGTGATGAGATGAACCTAGAGCTAGCTTTACTTTATATCTAACGTTGTGCTATACCAACCCCGAGTGTGTTTGATGAGGAGAGTTTGAAAGGGATGCAATAACCCCAGCAAAGCACGGATTCTGATCAGAATAATTGGAGCCATTCCAATAACATCAATCCATCAATCAGAAATTGAGCTTCCAAACAGACTGTGAGAGTACCATTAATAAATAGGTGCTGTTACCTCCTCCGCCATGCTTTTGAGTTGAACAAGCCAATCCTCAGCCTGATCCAGGATGAACTGCAGATCTACGCTGTCCTTATGTTTGATGTTCTCTGCAGCTTGCGTGATCTGTAGTAGGTTTGTGGTGCGGAATCTGTAGATATGACCGTCCAGGCAGGTTGCTGATGGAATGTTCGGTACACTGGGAAGAGGCAGGCTGTGGGAAAGAGAAGGCCAATACATTGGTGGGGTACCAGTGCATCCCTGTCACTGAGCATGCCAGGGGTAAGGGAGCCAGGGGACTATAGCTGGAATGTAGCCCTGGACGTTTTGGGAATGGAGCTGCAAAGACATTCCCCGGACTTTGAAGAATTATTGCAGCTCTTACACAGACTGTGGTCCCAAATTAGTAAAGAAGATGGCAACCTGTGAAATTGTCCCATTGTAATTGGCCCTCATCTCCGCTCTGCCTATAACACAGCATATACACACATGTTCTCGAGTTACATATCATACATTTATCTGTAACAGACACTGGTGTTAATCTCTATAACTGACCCACTGTAATAGACAATGGGTGTTACTCTCCATAACACACTGAGTGTTACCCTCCTTAATAGAAACTGAGTACTACTCTCTGAAATAGACACTGTGTGTTGCTCTCTATAACACACATGGCATGTTAACCTCGATAACATACACTGGGTGTTACTCTGTATAATAGACACTGGGTATTACTCTCTATGACACACACTGGGTGTTACTCTCTATAACACACACTGCACGTTACTCTCTATACAGACACTAGGTATTACTCTCTATGACACACACTGGGTGTTACTGTCTATAACACACACTGCATGTTACTCTGTATAATAGACACTGGATATTACTCTCTATGACACATACTGGGTATTACTCTCTATAATATACACTGGGTATTACTTTCTATAACACACACTGGGTGTTACTCTCTATAATAGACACTGGGTATTACTCTCTATGACACACACTGCATGTTACTCTCTGTAACATACACTGGGTGTTACTCTCTATAACACACTGCGTGTTACTGTCTATAACATACACTGCGTGTTACTCTCTATGATAGACACTGGGTATTACTCTCTATGACACACACTGGGTGCTACTCTCTATAACACACACTGCGTGTTACTCTCTATAACAGACACTGGGTGTTACTATCTATAATAGTCACTGGTATTACTCTCTATGACACACACTGGGCGTTACTCTCTATAACAGACACTGGGTATTACTTTCTATAACACACACTACATGTTACTCTCTATAACATACACTGGGTGTTACTCTCTATAACATACACTGGGTGTTACTTTCTATAATACACACTGTGTGTTACTCTCTATTACATACACTGGGTGTTACTCTCTATAATAGACTCTGGGTATTGTTGTCTATAACACACACTGGGTGTTACTCTCTATAATAGACTCTGGGTATTGTTGTCTATAACACACACTGGGTGTTACTCTCTATAATAGACACTGGGTATTACTCTCTATGATACACACTGGGTGTTACTTTCTATAATAGACACTGGGTGTTACTCTTTATGATACACACTGGGTGTTACTCTCTATAACACACACTGGGTGTTACTCTCTATAACGCACACCAGGTGTTACTCTCTATAACGCACACCGGGTGTTACTCTCTATGATAGACACTGGGTGTTACTCTCTATGATACACACTGGGTGTTAGTCTCTATAACACACACTGGGTGTTACTCTCTATGACAGACACTGGGTGTTATTTTCTGTAATAGTCCCCAGGTGATACTCTGTACTCAGTTTGATATAAAATCTCTGTTTCACTCTCTGCGATAGATGCTGGCATTGCCCTGATACCCAGCATTACCTGCAGTCAGTGATGACAATATCAATTAGTTCATCGATTCTTCTCTTCACTTCACTCTCTGGGCTTTTCGCCTTGATAGCAAGATGGACCAGCTCCAGACTGGATTCCTACAGAGGACACAGGATCACAAGGTACCAAATCCATCACAGGACTGAAGCCATTTCGAAAAGTATAAAGACTCAGGCATATGAAAAATAATACGGCTGGCAGCAATATGAAACTCACCAGATCACATGCATGTGGGTAATAACACAGAGGGGCGATATATCAATGCACTGACCCAAGGGTTGCTGGAGCAATAGCACAGCTGGACTGGCCTCCTGGGCTGGAGTGTCAATGCCTTTACACAGTTTAGGGAAGGGCAGCAGAGGAACCAGGGAGTAACGAAAGGGATTAAATTATCACGTCCTCACGCAGGCTGGGGGCCGAGAGTGGATGGAGTCAATGACACTGAAACAAACACAGAGAATGGTGCTGGAGACACTGAGCGGGGTCTGGCCTTACCCATGAAGTGAGAAACAGAATTAATGTTTCAGGTCTGATACGACTCTTCTTCGGTGAATAAGCTGCTGGGGAGTAAAGATACAGGGCAGTGTCAGGACAAGGCTCTGTATCAGAGGGAGGAGTGAGTGCTTGAGGGATTGCTGGGTCCCATCATGGGGAGCTTGATCCCATGGTGTGGAGAGGGGAGGGAGATTTCCGATTTCAATATCCCTCTTGATTGAGTCAAGAATGTCCCGGCACCAGAAGCTGGGACAGGCTGTAACATTTCTCAGGTCACCCAGCCATGAGCTGACCTCCAAATGACCCTCATGAACACCATTGAGAGTTGACAGCATGGTCAAGGGCATACTGCACTCACTGCTGCCCCATGTCACAACAATAACCGCCCCAGAAATCTCTGCGCTATTCATCGTCTCCCCTCACGCCCGTCACCACTTACAAGTCTGCCTACAGCGTTGAGTAGGATGTTCTGTGCATCAGTCCTGTGGCTGATATCCTCCCAGTATGACGACAGCACCACAACTGGCTTCACATTACCCCAGGGTAGGAAATAATAATGGCAACCTGAGAAAGTGTAACAAGTGAACATTATTCCCGAGAGTTAGCCAGAACCCTGGCACCCACTCCCCTCCCTCCCTGAATCCTGCTTTCCAATACCACTCCATAGTAACTGCTATAATGCATGTTGGATAGTCCTTCAACAATAACATCTGAATAATTCAAGCCTCAGCAATTACAAAATAAAATCAGCTTCAATATTTTGACTGTTTTTCTGTAAAGTGTTTTGTTTATTCACTCAGGGAATGTGGGCATTGCTGGCTGGGCCAGTATTTAATGTCCATCCCTAGTTGCCCTTTAGAAGTTGGTGATGAGTTGCCTCTTTGAACCACTGCAGTCACCTAACCCACAATGCCCTTAGGGAGGGAATTCCAGGATTTTGACCCAGTGACAGTGAAGGAGCGGCGATATATCTCCAAATCAGGATGGTGAGTGGCTCAGAGGGGAACTTGCAGGGGATGGTGTTCCCATGTATCTGCTGCCCTTGTCCTTCTGGATGGAAGTGGTTGTGGGTTTGGAAGGTGCTGGCTGAGGATCTTAGGTGAATTTCTGCAGGGCATCTTGTAGATAGTACACACTGCTGCTACTAAGCTTCGGTGGTGGAGGGAGTGGATGCTTGTGGATGTGGTACCAATCAAGCGGCTGCTTTGTCCTGGATGGTGTCGAGCTTCTTGAGTGTTTTTGGGGCTGCACTCATCCAGGCAAGTGGGGAGTATTCCATCACACTCCTGACTTGTGCCTTGTAGATGGTGGACAAGCTTTGAGGAGTCAGGAGGGGAGTTACTCGTTGCAGTATTCCCAGCTTCTGGCCTGCTCTTGTAGCCACTGTGTTAATGTGATGAGTCCAGTTGAGTTTCTGGTCAATGATAACCCCCAGGATGTTGATTGTGGGTGGGTCAGTGATGGTAACACCATTGAATGTAAAGGGCAGGTGGTTAGATTGTCTATTGCTGGTAATGGTCAAGGCTGGCAATTGTGTGATGTAAAGGTTACTTGCCACTTGTCAGCCCAAGTTCAGGTGTTAGTATATCGAGAGGTACAGGTGTGACATTCTCTAACCAAAGCCAAGGCCTAACTATTTGTATATTGGTGCATGTATAAATAGTGAAAGGCCATTTGGCCCCTCTAGCTTGTTCCACCAAGCAATAAGATCACGGGGGATCCGATTACCACACACATCTACCCCTGACAACCTTTCACGCCTTGTTTATCAAGAATCTCATCCACCTCTGCCTTAAAATTATCTAAAGTCCCTGTTTAAAGCTGAAAGTTACGAGACTTGCGATCCTCTATGACAGCAAATTTTTTCCAGAACTTGACCACAAATATCCAGCATTTGTAAGCATGTTGAGGTGAGCTTGTTGAATGTATTTAAGGCAAAGATAGATAGATTTGTGAACAGTAAAGGAATTAAGGGTATGGTGAGCAGGCGGTACAATGGAGCTGAGTCCACGAAAAGATCAGCCATGATCTTATTGAATGGCAGAGCAGGCTCAATGGGCCAATGGCTTCCTTCTGCTCCTATTTCTTATGTTCTTGTGTTGGTATGCAAACTATGAGTCCTCATTCTAGAATTTTCCACTGGAGGAAACTTCCTTTCCGCATGCACCTTGTTAAGACCCATTAGTATTTCATGTATTTCAACCAAGTCACTTTCTACTCTCCTAAACTCCACTGGAAAAAAGCCTTTCCTTCCCAACATTTACCCATAAGATCACACACACGGGGAGGCGATGGCCTAGTGGTATTATCACTGTACTGTTAATACAGAGACCCTGATAATGCTTTGGGGACCCGGGTTTGAATCCCACCATGGCAGATGGTGGAATTTGAATTCAATAAAATATCTGGAATTAGCAATCTAATGATGACCATGAACCCATTGTCGATTGTCAGGAAAAACCCACCTGGTTCACTAATGTCCTTTAGGGAAGGAAACTGCCATCCTTACCTGGTCTGGCCTACATATGACTCCAGACCCACAGCAATGTGGTTGACTCTTAACTGCCCTCTGGGGAATTCGGGATGGGCAATAAATGCTGCCTGGTCAGCGACGCCCTCATCCCGTGAATGAAGAAGTTTTAAAAAAGACACCTATTCTAGATATTGGTCTCATATACCTTCTCTAATATCACGTGGAGTGAATCAAATTGGCTGAAGACTGGTATCTGTGATACTAGGGACCACTGGAGGAGGCCGAGATGGATCATCCACTTGGCACTTCTGGCTGAAGATTACTGCGAAAGCTTCAGCCTTATCTTCTGCACCGATTTGCTGGGCTCTTCCATCATTGAGGATGGGGATATTTGTGGAGCCTCCTCCTCCAGTGAGTTGTTTAATTGTCCACCACCATTCACCTCATTCACTAGCGCCACCTCCAATATTTCCTGGTCAAACCCAAGGCCTGACTATTTGGGAATCAAGGTAAAAGCATCCCTATAGAATCCCATATTTGGGCTCATGTGAAATTATGTTCCCTGTTCATTTGCATATTTGTGAATCACATCAAAGTACACTAATACAGTGGTGTGTAGTGATGGTTGACCTACCATCGAACACTGCACGGCTGTACTGGGTGGTGGAGGCCAAGGGCAGGCAAGTGGCATCGAACTTGTTGCCGTAGTTACCGATGCTGACTTCAAACTGGATGGCGTCGCTCACTTCCTGTAGCATGGTGGCTGAATAGAAGACAGCACACAGGTGGAACTTACGGCGGCGGAGGTGTTTCTGGGGGGAAGAAGAATGGGAAGGCATGGTCACACCGTGGAGGAAGCTTTTCTGGTGACCACCGAGGGGAGAATGATAAGATGGTCGGGTTGGAAGCAGAAAACATCACACAAATAAGCCAGAGATAGTAGGAACTGCAGATGCTGGAGAATCCGAGACAACAAGGTGCAGGGCTGGATGAACACAGCAGGCCAAGCAGCATCATAGGAGCAGAAAGGCTGTGTTCATCCAGCTCTGCACCTTGTTGACACAAATAAGCCATTCGCCCAACAGGTCCATGCTACCTCTGCATTCTTGAAACTACTTCATCAAACCGCACTACCAGGGTCATTGAAACATGCAATAAAGGCCCATGGGCCCACCAATTCTGTACTGCAAAAAATACACTACACTAGTCTTACATAAGTTCCATTTTCCCGTGCTAGGTCCATAACTTTGGATGTTAAGACATTTCAGGTGCTCACCTTTTTAAAAATTGTGAGATATCCTACCTCCACTACCCTCGGAGGCAGTGCATTCCAGACCCCCACCACCCTCTCACCTTTCTTCCTCATGCACTTCCCTTAAATCCATCGCTGTTATTTACCTCAACTTACCCCTGTGGTAGCAGCTTCCAACCAGCCTATGAGTGAAGATGTTTTTCCAAAATTTCCTTTGGGATTTATTTCTGAATCGTGGAACCAAGTAGGGATAAAGCCATTTTAGATCTAATACTAACAAGGCACATTTAATAATTAAGTCATCTCACTGTAACAGCTCTTATGCTGAAATAGTGATCATAACAAAATTGATTTCAGATTGAAAGGAACAAACTGCAATCCCAACCAAGAATCTGAAATATAAATCCAATCAGTGAGATGCTCAGGCAGTAAATAAACAATGAACGACCCTTAAAGAAGTCAGTCAAAACATTCAGTAAAAATACATTCCATTGAAGGAGCTGACACCTATTCTGCACTGGAATGATCTCTCTCCGCCAAGAGTCTAACTCAGGCATTTTTCTTCAAATCTCCATTAAATGTAGGAGCAGAACATCGAACATAAGATAGAACAGTGCAGCATGGGAGCAGGCCCTTCGGCCTACCATGTCTGTGCTGACCATGATGCCATTGTATACTAATCCTATCCGTCTGCACATGCTCCATATCCCTCTATTCCCTGCTTGTTCATGTGTCTGTCTAAATGCTTCTTAAATGTACTGTATCTGCTTCTATTGCAGTGCATTCCAGGAACTACCATCCTCTGTATAAAATAAAGTTCTTCACACATCTTGTCTAAACATTTCCCCTCTCACCTTAAACCTAAGCCCCCTAGTGTTTCACATTTCCACACTGGGACAAAGACTCTGACTATCCAGCTTATCCGTGCCTCTCATAATTTTTTATACGTCTACCAGGTTGCCCATCAGCGTTCGACACTGTAGCAAAAGGTTTGTCTAACCTTTCCTTTTGGCTAATACACCAAAGATGTGCAGGTTAGGTGGATTAGCTATGCTAAATTGCCCATAGTGATCAGGGATGTGTAGATTACATGTGTTATAGAGGGTGGGTCTGTGGATCTGCTCTGTGGATCAGTGTGGACTTGTTGGGCCAAAGGGCCTGTTTCCACACTGTAGGGATTCTATGATTCTATGAACTTCAATCCAGGCAATATCCTGGTAAACCTCTTCTGCACCCTCTCCAAAGCCTCCACATCCTTCCTATAGAGTGGTGACCAGAACTGCTCACAATATTCCAAATGTGACCGAACTGAAGTTTTATACGGCTGCAACATGACTTGCCAACTTTTATACTCAAAGCCCCAATCAATGAGGGCAACCATGCCATTCACCTTCTTTAACACCTTATCCACTTGTGTTGCCACTTTCAGGGGGCTATGGACTTGCAGCCCAAGATCCCTCTGTATGTCAGTCCTCCTGAGTGTCCCAACCATTTACTGCACACTTTCCTCTTGCATTTGACCTCCCAAAATGCATCACCTCACACTTGTCCCAATTAAGTTTCATCTGCCATTTCTCCACCCAACTTTTCAACTACTCTATATCCTGCTGCATCCTTGGATAACCTTCCTTATGATCCACATCTCCAACAATTTTCTCAAACTTACTAATCAGACCTCTACACTTTCATCCAAGTCATTTATATTTATTACAGACAACAGAGGTCCCAGAGGAATACCACTGGTCACACACTTCCAGTCAGAAAACATCCTTCCACAACTACCCTTTGTCTTCTATGACAAAACTAATTTTTTATCCAACTTACCAACTCACCATAGATCCCATGTAACTTAATCTTCTGGACCAGCCCACCATGACGGACCTTGTCAAATACTTTAGTGAAGTCTATATAGACAACGTCCACTACCTTACCCTCATCATCTTTGACACTTCCTTAGAAAACTCAACCAAACTCTTGAGACAAGACTTCCCCTGCATAAAGGCATGCTGATTATCTCTAATAAGTCCCTTCTTTTCAAAATGTGAATAAATCCTGTCCCTAAGAATGTTCTCCATAAATTTCCATACGACGGATGTAAGATTCACCACTCTACAATTTCCTGGATTATTATTGTTGCCCTTCTTAAACAAAGGAACAACCCGGTTGTTCTCCAGTCTTTGGGACCTCGTCTGGGGCTAAAGAGGATACAAAAATCTCTGTCGAGGCCCAAGAAATCTCCCCCCTTGCCTTCCTCTGTATCCTGGGATGGGTCCTATCAGGCCCTGGGCACTTTGTCTACCGTAATGTTTATCAAGACACCCAACACCTCCTCCTTCTTAATACCGGTGTGTCCCAGGACATCAATAAACCACTCCTTAATCTGACCACCATCCACGTCTTTCTCATTGGTGAATACTGACACAAAGTACTCATTAAGAACCTCACCAACTTCCTCTCACTCCACGCATAAATTTCCTCCATTGTCCTTGAATGGACCTACCTATTCCTTTGTTGCCCTTTTGCTCCTAAGATATCTATGAAATGCCTTAGGATTCTCCTTAATCCTACTTGCCAGGGACATTTCATGGAGCCTTTTAGCCCTCCTAATTTTTTGTTTAAGATCTTTCCTGCATCCTTTAAATTTCTCAACAGCTGTGTCTGATTTCTATTTCTTAAACCTCACATATGCTTTCTTATTGTTTTTGGCCAAACTTTCAATATCTCTTGTCATCCAAGGCTCCCAAATCTTGCCATCCTTATCTTTCGCCCTCACAGGAACAAGCCGGTCCTGAACTCTGATCAACTGGCCTTTAAAGGACTCCCACACGTCAGATGTGGATTTACCCTCAAACAGCCTCCCCCAATCTAATTTCTCCAGCTCCTGCCTAACACTGTTATCCTTCCCCCCAGTTTAGCACTTTCACTCAAGAACCAGTCTTATCCTTGTCCATAGCTATCTTAAAACTTACAGAAGTATGTTTCCAAAATGCTCCCACTGAAACATTGATCAGCTGGCCAGACTCATTCCCAGATCAAGTATGGCCCCATCCCTAGTTGGACTATTTACATTTTGTTTCAAGAAACCCTCCTGGGTGCACCTATCAAATTCAGCACCAGATAATAACCTAGCACTAAGGGAGTCCTAGTTAACATTGGGCAAGTTCAAATCACCCACCACAATAACTGTGTTGTTTTTACATCTTTCCATGATCTGCTTACATACCTGTTCCTCCAGTTCCTGTTGGCTATTGGGAGGCCTATAGTGTAACCCCATCATAATAATTGCACCTTTCTCATTCCTAGGTTCTATCCACATGAGCTCACTGGATAAACCCTCCAAGATGTCCTCTCCTAGTGCAGCTGTGACATTCTCTATAAACAGTAATACAACTCTCCCACCCCCTTTTACATCCTTTTCTGTCTCATCTCAAACATCTAAACCTTGGAACATTGAGCTGCCGGTCCTAACCTTCTCTCTACAAAGTTTCTGTCATGGCAACAACATCCATGTACCAATCCAGGCTCTCAGCTCATCTGCCTTACCTGTTATACCTATCACATGAAAATAAATACTCTTCAGACTGCTAGTCTCTGCCTGGCTCTGCCTGGTTCTTCTTCTTGCTGACTTAACCTCTATCTTCTCCTCAGTCACTCCACATGCTGAACCACTGCTCTGATTCCCACTCACCTGCCACATGAGTTTAAACCTTCCTGAATGACACTAGCAAACCTTCCTGCCAGGATATTGGTGCCCCTCCAGTTTAGGTGAAACCTGTTCCTCTTGTACAGATCCCAGCTGCCCTAAGAAGTAGGCCACTCGTCCCCTCAAGTCTGCTCTGCCATTCAATGGTTGAACAACTGAAAAAGTGCAGCATAGGAACTGGCCCTTCCGCCCTCCAAGCCTGTGCCGACCATCATGCCCTCATGGTTGATCAGATAAATCGCAGCTCCACTTTCCTGTCATTTCTTCATCAACCTTGGTTCTCTTCCTGATTAAAAATCTGCCTTAGAATCATAGAGTTATAGAGACATAGAGCACCAAAACAGACCATTTGGCCCAACTCCTCCATGCCGACCAGATATTCTACATTAATTTAGTTCTATTTCCCAGCATTTGGCCCATATCCCTCTAAAACCCTTCCGAATCATATACCCATCCAGATGCCTCTTAAATGTTGTAATTGTACCAGCGTCCACCACTTCCTCTGGCAGCTCATTCCATACACGCACCTCCCTCTGCGTGAAAAAGTTGCCCCTTAGATCCCTTTTAAATCTTTCCCCTCTCACTTTAAACCTAACCCCTCTAGTTTTGGACTCCCACACCCCGGGCAAAAGACCTTGAGGATTCACCCTATCCATGCCCCTCATGATTTTATAAACCTCTATAAGGTCACCCCTCAGCCTCCGATGCTCCAGGGAAAATAGCCCCAGCCTATTCAGTCTCTCTCTATAGCTCAAACCCTCCAACCCTGTCAACATCCTTGTAAATCTTTTCTGAACACTTGCAAGTTTCACAACATCTTTCCGATAGCATCTTAGTTTTGAATATATTCAATGATCCAGCCTCTGTGATTGACAATACATTTCATTCCACGTGTGCAGGTAAATGTTCTCTCTCCTGCACTGACAGCTTTATCTCTGCTCTCAGACTCTTGCACATAATTACTGATCTCCCAGCTACACCGTCATACACATCGTTATCCCATAACTCTACAGCAAGCGATCATCTCCTGATCGTACAAACATTCTCCTGAACGCTGCCATTTCTAAACAGGCTTTTCTCCAATTACTTGTGATCTGCCTGCATGGCATGCAAAACAATACGTTTCACTGTATCTCGGTACATGTGACAATAAGAAATCAAATCAGTTCTCTTTGGAAAGTTACCGACCACAACAATGCACCTCACTCTTGGGAAGTGCATTCCAGATCATCGTAACGGTGTATGTAAAAAGACGTTGTACAACTAAATTCCACCTCTGTGTTCCTCTGGTTACTGACCCCTTCTGTTCTGTCTCTCCCCATTTACTCAGCAAAACCTCCTCAAAAGGTGCTGAATCTTTTGAGCAACTCACTCTCCAGTTTTCATGCTGGGATGATCTCTGCTTTTTCTTTCACATATATTCGTCGAGAATGTGAATTCTGCAGTACTGGGGCAAGCCACCAGGTGGAGGGCAAGTCCTTCCAATTTACAGGAACCTCACATTCAGGCACAGAAAGTAATAAGGAAGGCAAATGGAATTTTGGCATTTGTTGCTCCAGGAATTAATACAAGGTACTAAAGGGGATTGATAAAGTCGGCGTAGAGAGGACATTTCCCTTTGTGCTGCAATTTAGATTGAGAGGCCATCATTTTAGGTTAAGGAGTAGCCTGGAACGCGTTGCCAGCGGAGGTGGTAAAGACAGGCATGATAGCATCATTTAAGATGTATCTAGACAGACACATGAATGGGCAGGGAGCAGAGGGATACAGATCCTTGGAAAATAGGCGACAGGTTTAGATAGAGGATCTGGATCGGTGCAGGCTTGGAGGGCCAAAGGGCCTGCTCCTGTGATGTAATTTTCTTTGTTCTTTGTTCAAATTTAAAACTGAGATATAATTAGTGATGGATTAAAGGGTTATGGAGAGCAGGCAGGAAAGTGGAGTTAAGGCCGAGATGAGATTAGCAATGATCATACTGAATGGTGGAACAGGCTTGAGGGGCCCAATGGTCTACTCCTGTTGTCCATTCTTATAATGTTACGATTCGCTCTATGTGAAAAGCTATTGGGGCTGGACACTGACTCTGGGCCCTGACAACATTCCGGCAATAGTACTGAAGACCTGTGCTCCAGAACTTGCCACACCCCGAGCCAAGCTGTTCCAGTGCAGTTACAACACTGGTATCTACCCGACAATGTGGAAAATTGCCCAGGTATGTCCTGTATACAAAAAGCAGGACAAATCCAACCCAACCAATTACTGCCCCATCAGTCTCCTCTCGACCATCAGTAAAGTGATGGAAGGTGTCAGTATCAGTGCTATCAAGCAGCACCTGCTCAGCAATAACCTGCTCAGTGACGCCCAGTTTGGGTTCCGCCAGGGCCACTCAGTTCCTGACCGCATTACAGCCTTGGTTCAAACATGAGGAACCTTGTTGATAGTGTTTACCTTGCCTCAGCTATCCTACACCATGAGGGACCTGCTACGATAAAAGTGCAGCTCCTCTTTTCCAAAGAAGCCAGGACGGGAATCTCCCGTCAGAAACATGGAGTTCTTCCTTTATGCAATAAAGGACTGGACCGGCAAGCTTCCCTGTAATTGCCTGTGCTCAGAAAACCCAGCTGAACAGTCTGCAAAAGGATATACAACTGGACAGGGCATCGGAGAGACAGTATCTACAGTACAGTGTTTGATCTCCTTAAAGAATGCTTTACTCATGTGGCAAACACTTAAGAGATGGTTCACGAGCTCATTCCTGGGAGAAAGGCTTTGAGTTATGAGGAAGGGTTCAACAAGTTGGACCTGCATTTATTGGAGTTTAGTAGAAAAGCGATCTTATCAAAATGTATAAGGCCCTGTAGAAGCTTGTAAGGTACATGGTGATGGGGTGGCTCAGTGGTTAGCACTGCTGCCTTATAGCAGCAGGGACCCAGGTTTGATTCCACCTTCGGGTGACTCTCTGTGTGGAGTTTGCACATTCTCCCTGTGTCTGCATGGGTTCCTGCCGGGTGCTCCGGTTTCCTCCCACAGTCCAAAGGCTTGCAGGTTAGGTGGATTAGCCATGTTAAATTGCCCCATAGTGTCCAGGATGTGCAGACTAGGTGGGTTAGTCATGGGAAATGCAGGGATAGGGTTTGGGAGTGGGCTGCTCTTCAACAGGTTGCTGTAGACTCGATGGGCTGAATGGCCGACATCCACACTGCAGGGTTTCTACGGGGCAAGTCTAAAACAAGGCTATAAAGTTTCAAAAGAATCTTCCATTTAAGATGGATAGAGGAGGAATTTCTTCCCTGAGAGGTTTTTCAACATTTGGAAATCGCTTGCCCAGGCAGATGGTCATTGAATGTATCCAAACCTTCCTTAGGCACGGTTGTCCAGACAGAAGAGTTGGACTGAGCCACAATTGTAACAAATGACGGAACAGGTCTGAGGGGCTGAATGGCCTAATCCTGCCCAATTTAAGATTTGACGATTTTGCATATCAGCTCCTTTGGCTCACAGCATAATCATTAGAAACAAAAAGTTTCAGGAAAATTACCTCAACTCTTAAGAGATCGTCCGATGGGATCTCCTCGATCTTCTGCTCCATCTGGTCCACAAGTTTGGTGCTCAACTCCAGCAGGACTCGGCCTCGATAGGCCATCGCCTCACCCTGAGGACAGGAAACGATGAGCTGAAATCAGACACTGGGTCCACACCTCACTGCGGTCAGCACCATATCAGAGCACACTTCAAAGCCCTAGGAGCGCATTGGCAGTGTCCAGCTCTTCAACACAATCAACACTGACCCTTTGAAAGTGACGAGGGAACGGGAAGGGAGGGTAAAATGGATGAAGGTATGAATGGGTGGAAGAAAGGAGGGACTGAAGGGAGGAAGGATGGGTGGGAGCAAAGGGGGACCAGAGAAGGGAAGGAGACAAAGTGGAAGTGAGAAGGAGAGGAAAGCAGGCATGGTGGAATAAAGAAAGGAATTTGTTGTGATTGGAAGGGATGGAAAGAAGTGTGGAGGGCAGAGAAGAGAAAGACAGTAAGAAATAGAGAGAAAGAGAGAGGCAAGAGAAAGAAACACAGGAAGGAAAGTGCTTTCCAATCTATAATGTACTTACGAAGAGTCATCATTGTCATGATGTAGGATCTTTGCCCATTACATCGCCCTATCACTTCCAGCAGAGACCAATTATCACAAAGACAACCCCCTTATCTGAGGAAATTCTTTGCACATCTCCTTCACACTCTACACCTCCAACCTATATCTCTCTCTCTCCACAACACCTCCCCCCACCCGTTACAATCAGACTTGTCTCTCCCATCTCACCAATATGATGGCAGCATGGACCCTTCAGATGTTACTCACTTGATCTTCCTGATAGTGTCTGGAGTATCATTTTCTCTCAGCTCTCCTCCCTCCTCCTCCCCAGGGCACTTTCGAAATGAGCAAACAGGTAGTTGGGGCCCCATCTGAGCTGACACCTTGGCTCTTGGTTCAACAACACCTCAATCCTAACATTCCTCCCAGTCTCTGTTTACAAAGCTCTCCATGGCCTTGTTACATGGACAAACATCCCTCATCTCTCTAATCCCCCTCGAGCTCCAAGACACCTTCACTCTTCCATTCCCACCCATATTCCCAAATTTTCCAATGCTGCCTGGTTTCAAAGCTCTGGAATTGCCTTCCTGATCCTCTAAGCCTCTGCACTACACTCACATGCTCCTTAAAGTCGACCTTTGTCACAAAGCAATTGGCCACCAGACCTAGAATCTCCTTGCCTGGCTCGATATCAACTTTATCTGATAAATTGGATAAACATTGTGGAATACACCCTGGGATGTTTCCGGTGAGATGTTAAACCCTTGGTCCTCTGAACAGACACTAAAAGATCCCACAGCACTGTTTTTAAGAAAAGCAGGGGAACCCTGTCTGGCCAATGCCTATCCTTCAATCATAGTGATAAAACAGGCTAACTGGTCACTATCAAATTGCTCTTTGTGGGATCTTGCTATGCAATCACACAAAATGGGTTAACTGGTCACTATCAAATTATCCTTTGTGGGATCTTGCTGTGCAATCATACTGACAAAATGGGTTAACTGGTCACTATCAAATTACCCTTTGTGGGATCTTGCTGTGCAATCATAGTGACAAAATGGGTTAACTGGTCACTATCAAATTACCCTTTGTGGGATCTTGCTGTGCAATCATACTGACAAAACAGGCTAACTGGTCACTGTCAAATTGCTCCGTGTGGGATCTTGCTGTGCAATCATACTGACAAAACGGGCTAACTGGTCACTGTCAAATTGCTCCGTGTGGGATCTTGCTGTGTAATCATAGTGACAAAACAGGCTAAGTGGTCACTATCAAATTACTTTTTGTGGGATCTTGCTGTGCAATCATAACTGACAAACCAGGCTAACTGGTCACCATCACTTTGCTGTTCGTGGGAGCTTGCTGTGCAATCAGTTGGCTGCCTGGTGCTTTATGAGATCTGGAGGATGTGATAAACAGTGGTGCAAGTGGAAAGCCGGTGTTACTTATGACGGTTTCAATTTACACCTTAGCTTTACAATATTGAAAAGAAACTGCTATTGGGGGACATTAAGTTTCTATTGCAGTCAGACCCTTCGACATTACTCTCTGTGTCTCCATGAGAGAGTCTCCGTGCTCCATACCTTTCCCAGGTTCATGTCAACGTATGGATCGGGGAAGCCGGTGAACTCTCGGGGGCTGCCGTACAGATTCACAAAGCAGGGTCCGAAGGATGGAAGGTATCCCAGGCCATCATCCACTGTCAGCAATCCCGGGAGGGAAAAAAACACAAAAAGGTGCACAGGAAAACATTACTCAGGTTATAACCTCAGCAACAGCTCCACCACAACCCCAATTTACCTCTGTCTCACTCAGTTCCCACTCTGACCTACGTGATCCCATTCTACCCCATCCAATTCCAATTCCGTCCCCAATTCCAATTCCATCCCCAACCCCAATTCTATCCCCAATCCCAATTCTGTCCCCAATCCCATTTCACACCCCACTGCCCTAAACACCATCCCAACCCGGAATAATCTCATAATAATAAAGCAGCATCAATTTAAGACTGAGATGAGGAGGAACTTCTTCTCTCAGAGCGTTGTGAGAGGGAGCTGTGGTGCCAGAGTCCTTGTGTACATTTAAGACTGAGACAGATTCTTGGTCAGTCAGGGAATGCAGGGTTACAGGGAAGGACAGGAAAGTGGATGTGAGGAATGTCAGGTCAGCCATGATCCTATTGAATGGCGGAGCAGGCTCGATGGACAAAGCAACCTGCCTCTGTTCTTATCTCTATGGTCTGATGGTCAACCCAACAAAACTCTACACCAGCAACTGACCCAATCAGCAAACTGATAGAAGGTAGCGATGGCAGTCCTATCAAGCAAGTTCTGCAGAGAAATAAATAAATGCAAGCTACAGCTGATGATTTTAAGGAGTCACATTGGACCTAAAATGTTAACTCTATGTGTGTCTCTCTCTCCAAAGATCCTGCCAGACCTGCCGACTTTCTCCAGCAATTTCCGTTTCCATAGCAATAAGCTGCTCATCGTCCGTAAGTTTGGATTTGCCTAAGGTCACTTGGCCTCAGGTTTCGTTACAGGTTTGGTCCACACAAAGGCAAAAAGGGCTCAATCCAGACAAAGAGTGAAGGATTCCTTTAACATTGAGGCAGCCTATTGTTTAATGGCATGTCAGCATTGTTAACAAGCTCAGCTGTGTTATCCATCCCTAACTGCCCTTGAACTGATTGCCTTGCTAGCCTATTGTAGCACGTTGCTGTGGGTCTGGAGTCACATATAGACCAGGCCAGGTAAGCAGGGTGGATTTCCTTCCCTAAAGGGCATTGGTGAACCAGATGGGTTTGTATAACAATTGATGATAGGTCACCTTGGCAAAGACTAGCTTTATATTTGCAGATCTATTGATTGAAATTTTAAAAACTTTGGTCAGCCTCAGGTTGCAGCATTTGCCTTAATTTAGCATCCAGGAACCTTGACAGAATTGAAGTTAATGTGGAATCGATGGGAGGAGCTAGTGAAAACTCTCTGCTGAAAACTCTTCCTCTGCTCTGAGGAAGGTCATCCGACCTGAAACGTTAACTCTGATTCTTTCTTCACAGATGCTGCCAGACCTGCTGAGCTTTTCCAGCAACTTCTGTTTTTGTTCCTGATTTACAGCATCCGCAGTTCTATCAGTTCTTAAAACTCTCTGCTGGTTGGAGTCATACCTGGCCCATAGGAAGATGGGTTGTGATTGTTGGAGGTCAGTCATCTCAGCTCCAGGGTAGCGTCCTAGGCCCAACCATCTTCAGCTGCTTCACCAATGACCTTCCCTCCATCGCAAGGTCAGAAGTGGAGATGTTCACTGGCATTAGCATACTTTATAACTCCATTCACCAGGCCAGCTTTGAGTCCTCTTGGTCAAGCATGGCCTCAGCATGGATTTACGGTCTTGGGGTGATTCCAGAGTGAAATCCCAGCCTCATGAACCCTGAGTCACGATCCAATGCAGCTGGAGGCTGGGTGGGCTGGGTTGGAAGACCATTGTTCTGAACCTTTTTATTCTCCATTGTATACTTTATTCCCAAAATCTGCAACGTTAGTCTTTATACTTCTTTATTTTTCTAAGAACTGTTACTGAAGAAGCTGTACCTGAGATGGTGCTGTAAGCAGCTTTTCACTGTACTAATTTGAATACATAAAGCAATTCTAATTCTAATTCTAATTCTATTTACAGCTCCTCAGTCTTTTTGAATGCATTCCCATCATTGAAACTCCATAGAAGTCACCATAGTATAGGTGTTGAAATGTACCAGGCACATATTCCACAGCGAGGAACTCACCTCCTGACTCCTCAAGGCCTGGATGGGTGCAGCTCCAACAACACTCAAAAAGCACAATTAATTCAACAAATCTTCCAAACTCCTGGAACAGGCGTCCTCCTCCTGTACTCTATCTGAGTTCTTCATCTTGACACGACTGGGAACAGTGTCCCTGTACCTAGCCTTTCAAAACCCTCTATCAGTTCAAACCCTCAATTAGGACTCTAGTCTATCAGGTACTTACTGACTTATGGAAATCAAATCTGTACCAAACTATCTCATGGAGGACCACAGAGGCCACGTGGGCCACTGGGAGGAAAGATTTCCCATTGCTATTGAAGGTTATGAATACATTCATAGTGCCATTGCCCCTGGTTGTAGTTACTCCTGGTACACGAGGTCACAGTCTGTCACACACGCCCCCTTGTAGCTCATCTGAAACCATTCTGTGCCATCATCCTTCATCCAATTCCATAGAATCCCTACAGTGCAGATAGAGGCCATTTGGACCATGAAGTCTACCCATCATCCCACCCTATCCCCTCAACCCCACATTTACCATTGTTAACCCACCTGGCCTGCACACTATGGGGCAATTTCCCATTCCAATCCACCTAACCTGCACATCTTTGGAATGTGGAATGAAGCTGGAGCACTCAAAGGGAGCTCATACAGACACGGGGAGAATGTGCAAACTCCACACAGACAGTCGCCCGAGGGTGGAATTGAACCCTGGTCCCATGAGGTGGCAGTGCTAACCACTGAGCCACCGTGCCACTATCCCAGATTAACCTCTCTTTCTGTTGCCCTTCACTTTGCCCTCCAGGAGAGATCTTGATTACTTCTCAGCTCTGGTCTTTTTGCGCTTGCAATATCAAGGATTTCTTCATCGGTCCATATCTGGAATATATGTCAGCATCAATTTTCTTCCACAGATCTTAATTTATTGTCAACGTTTCTGAGATCACACATTGCTCATAGTTTAAAATGACTTATGGTTACCTCTAACTTCCTCAAACACTTCAAATGGTCATTTTATTGGGGTTAGCTATCCTGGTGATGGGTTCAAATCCACCCCCATACTTGTTTGAAATGTGAAGGTGGAGAAGGAAACATCTTCTGGAAATAAGCAGTAGGGACCTGATTGTTGTCAAAACCCAACTGATTCAGTAAACTCCTTTTCGAGAAGAAAGTTTGTTATCTTTCCCTGATCTAGCGAATCATGCAGTTATACAACGGCCGTTAGCCATGGGAAATTAATTCCAGCCATACTCACGCTATAAAATATAATTTTAAATTTCAATTGGCGCATTTGCGAGGCTTACACTACCTTAGGGTCACCAAAAAATAATGGTCAACATATCTCACTCTGGGTTCAATCATTACCAACTTACCTTTTCATTGTATTACTGAAGCCTGAAGAATCAAGAGTTTATAATTAAACACTGTGCCTAATCCAGCATTGGCCCCAACTTCCCAAACAATACCTTACTCACAACCAAGACTATTCCTCAAAAACATTCCCAACATGCCCAACACCAACACCACTCTCCAACAACACCATTCCCCAACAACATTCCCAACACTAACACCATTCCCCAACAACACTTCCCCAACAATATTCCCAACACCGATGCCATTCTCCAACAACACTTCCCCAACAACATTCCCAACACCAATGCCATTCTCCAACAACATTCCCAATACCATTCCGAGTATTCCCAACATTGACATTATTGCCAACGCAACCAACATTCCCAATATCAACACCATTCCCAGCACCAACAACGTTCCCAACACCATCAACGTTCTCAACACCAACACCATTCCCAACACCAACACCATTCCCAACACCACCAGCACCAACACCAATTCCTCAAGCCTCATGCAGCCAGAAAGACAGAAGTTGTACCGATAATATCAATCAAATTGGAGCATCTGTGTGAATACAGAGACGGAAGGTGGGCAGAGCGATTTTCATCAAAACCGCTCAATGGATTTTGCGCTAAAGAGTCATCACCATTCTAGAGTAGGAAAATGGAACAAGGATTACGATGACCCACTTCTGCCCTGTTCAATAACTAATTTCCATCTGTTCAGGTCAAGGATGACCTGTTTAGTTGTAAGGAAGGCCACTGTAACTAAGTAACCGTTCCTGAGAGACCCAGCGAAAGACAGCGCGGGCTTGGCCCCGTGCTCCATGGGTGGGATTGAGCTTGTCCTTGTGGGAGTTACACAAAATATGTTTGCTTATTGTCTCCTCTTATTCTGGCTATTGAAACAACTTTGTGTCAATTCCCCATTTCATATAAGATGGGAAGCATACAAGAGCAATCCCAACAAGGAGCTACGTGTCTGTCTGGAGCTATCCATTGACATCAAAGGTGAAAGCGTGGAAGAATATGTTGACGTGTGAAGTGAGCTACAGTTGGAAGAGGCGAATGTGGAGCAGAAATAATTGCAATGATCAGATGGACCAACTGTCCTGTTTCTGAGCTTGAAATTCGACTCACTTTTCGATTTTCTCATTCCCAAACCTGCCCACTGACCCCATGGAAGGATTTACTTGTGCACGAGACCTTTGGAGATTTTATTTATCATTGATAATGGGTACACAAGGAGCACACGTGCAGCTGAAAGCAGGATAGGGTATTTGGTGAGAATGGAATGTAAAACAGGCCACAGCGGATGTCTTAAGACCAAATATGGTTAATCCAACCTTGAAGCCTTTCTATATAATGAATGCATCAACCAATGTGTGCCATTAGTGTGTGTGTTCGGGGGTGGGGAGATTCCTGTGCATGAGGCTAATGAAAGGGAGGGGGGACTTTCATCTGAAATATGGTGGCAGTGATAGAGTACCTTGCCATTTACAGGTGCTATAGTTTTGTTCTTATTTGATACTGAAACTTCATAAGTTCTTTAAAACTCTTCAG